CCTTCTTCCACATATTGGGTCTTTAATAGGTTTCTTGCTAGTCAAAAATTTGTACTGAACCCACAGGAGAATACCTCCATATAGAAAAAAGTACATCATCATCTCTGTTTGAAAAAGCAATCATAAGCTACAGAAGCAACTACAGCATCACAGAGAGCAATGAGAGAATCCTACATGTAAGTTCAATGTTTAAAACAAAACTTTATCAATTCAACACTTGAACAAATGATAAAGTGTCTGTTTAACCATATTTCTTACAGTACACAAGATATGTACAAAAACCCTAACGTGGACAGCTTGTCTAGTACAAATGAACAGTCTTACATCAATTTCTTGTACATGCATATACTTTTAACATATATTAAGGTCTACAGAACTAGCTCCAGGGTTAAATTATTCTACGAGATTGTGTGAATTAGACATACAAAATCTGATAGAGCTTCATAAAATGCTATCTGATATATATACAAACTTTCATTGATAAATAAATCAAAATCACTTGGCCTTCACAACTCATGCAAAAGAAACCTCAAAAGCAAGCCAAATCTGAAGTCACTTACCTTGAGAACTGAAAATGTGATCATTTAGATTTTAAAAAAAATATTTACAGTGTCTAAATGATGTTTGTCCAGTTTAATAGTATTCTTTATTCAACATTTCCATTATGCTCACCTTTTATCTCATAAAAGCTCTTGAATATATTTGTGTAAGAAGTACATCTGAAAAATTCTAAACCTCCATATCCAATTATTTCATGTTTAAAACAAACTGCAGCATTTACTTCTTAATTGTTAAAAGAGTCAGTGTGAAATAATGCTATTTTCTTTACTAATCTCACGAGGACCTAAAATAAAGTTTGAAATACTCCTCAGAGTTAGCATAACTGTGAGGGATATAACCCCTTTTTAGTAGATCTGGGTTAGACAAACTGTAAAGGATAACACTCTATCAAGTAAGCTTTGGTTTGAACAACTATAAGGAATAAACCCCAAATTTTGGGTACTCAAAATCTGGTTTAGATCAGTTGTAAGGGATAACCACCTCCTCATTAAATCTGGATTAACCCCACTGTAAGGGATAACACTCTCCTCAATATCTCTTGGTTAGACCAACTGTAAGGAATAGCACTCTCTTCAGTAAATCAGATTTACTGAGAAGGATATCATCCCACACAGTTGATCTAATTCAGGTAATCCCTTACAGTTGGTTTAGTCTAAATTTACTGAGGAGAGTGCTATTCCTTAATTGAAACCATGGATTTAATTCATGTTAAAGGTGTTTTTAATGTCTTTTTTTCCCCATCAGTAATGATAAAATAAAAGATGCAATGACAATAAATTGGCAAACTATTTAAAAACATGATGAAGTGATTTAATTGTGTGTGTGTGTGTGTGTGTGTGTGTGGACATAAATCATTTCATTATGCTTCTAAATTGTTTTGTCAATTTATTATATTAGCATGAGATGCAGTAATACTTTTATAAATTAGTGTCTCAAACTTTGAACATTAAAAAAAAAACAACTAATAACAAAATGTTTGTTTTTTCACCAATTTTTGATAAGAGAAGAACAATGATAATGGTAAACTCAGCAAAAAATACTGTTATCACGTATTATTTGAAAAAATGGACAGCATCTATAGATATATGCTGTAAGGCACATACCTATATGTACTTTTTGGAATAATTATAGAAAATTTAATATTAAAACATTTTACAATAAATATCTTGATCACAATTGCAGTTGGAAGTAATAAATTCCAATTTTATTAAATGCAAATAAAACGTCTTTGATTGAAATGGTGTTATAGCATGCAACAGATTTGTGCTGCTATTCTCTAACCATGTGCCGACTGGCATGGTAACGTGAGATCAGTACTACATATCATGATGGTGCTACACGTGATATTTCAAACCAAGTTTGTACAGATGCTTGATTCTAAATATTGCTAGATCTAGTTACTAGTATATTGGTGTGATACAAAATTAAATGGGGAGCCGAGCTATCACAAAAAATTACTAATTTATTCATGGTTCAAAATATAAGGTCTAGATCTACAGAACAAGAAGTGAGACTAAATGCCAAGAACAAAGCAGTGAAGTTGCAACCTGCATATTGATCTACAGAAACTACCAGTACGATGCGTGCATAAACTATGATTAGTCCTACATACTCTGGATATGAGCCTACTTACCCAGATGGTGCCCCCTCTCACCAGACCAATTGCAATCCACTGAGATTAATTGAAGTGAAGATTTTTCTCACCTGTACAAATTCTCTCTAAGGAAAGGGTGCAGGTTTATATCAAGTAGAAAAAATGCATAAACACGGTAACACAATTTAGCATGTAGATCTAGTTTAGACCTCATTTGTATTTTCATAACTTTAAGCTGTTGAAGTGTTTTCTGTCTGTGAGTTGTCCATTTTATGCTACTTTAAATTATATCCAATTTTATTTCAGGTCCTTTTGAAAAATTAAATAAAATGAGATATTTCAATTACAAGCATCTACTAGAAAACTCATCAAATGCCATTTATTTTACATTCTGTACTGTGCTTGGGAGAAATACTCAAAAGGACAAGGCTTTTTCTTCTGTGCTCATGAGTGACTGGAAAAATGTTGGTCAGAGCTCATTTAACACCACTATCACAAAGGGTCACAGCATCATGCATGTGTGATACAGGCAGAACAGTTCATGCAGATACAAAACAACCAACGGCCTTATGCTTACCAGCTTCTCAATGACCAACATCAAAGGCTTGTTACAAAAAACAGAGAAATAATCAAAACTATGATGGAAAATATTTATTTTTGTGGAAAACAAAACATTCCTCTGCACGGATATACTGAAGGAAAAAGCAATTTACTGGTGCTGCTGATGAGAAGGCAACAGACAAATTGACAAAAGAACAGATTTCTCTTTGTGTTCACTTTTTAAACCAAGAACAAAATGAAGTTACTGTCCAGGAGGAGTTTTTAGGAGTTGAAAGAGCAGAATTTGCCATCAGCTAAAACTTAGCAGACAAAATTGTTATTGCTTTGGAGGGCTACAGTGTTGATGTTAAGAATTTGAAGGGCCAAGGGTATGACAAAGCCTCAAACATGAGAGGAGCATGAAGGGGGTGTACAAGCTAGAATAAAGCATCATTGCCCAAGAGCAGATTACGTCCATTGCTATGCACGCTGATTGAACTTGTCAATTGTTCATGCATGTGAAGAGCAGTTGATAGGAAATATGATGTGAACTATACAAGAGACTTGTTTTACTTTTTTCATATTCTGCAAAGAGACTTACCCAATTCAAAGAAAGTCGTGAAGTTGTTGGCCATTAGCTAGAATGTCGAGAAAAATTGTGAATGTTGTGCGAGACTTGTTGGTCAGCACAAGCTAACTCTCTCTACACATTCAAGGTTATGTTTCACGTTGTAGTTGATGCCTTAGAATACTTAGCAGCAGATAAGAATGAAAAGGCTGACAGACATCTCAACAGATTAGTCAAGTTCCAGTTCATCATCAATTTGGTAGCTGCAGAGCATATTTTACAATTGACAGTTTGTCTATCACACTTGCTTCAGGCAAAGTCTATGGACCTCATCATGGCCATTGCAGAGACTTGTGCAGTTAATGAAACCCTACAAGATGAGAGTAACGACGCTACTGTTTGGGACACTGTATGAAAGCACTGTTGAAATGTCAGATATTTTGAAATCAAACCTAGTATTCTAAGAGTTGCAGGACATCAAAGGAACAGAAACAATGTTCCGACAGAAAACCCAAAACACTATTACAAATGTGCATTATATTATCCATTTCTGGATCATCTCATACAGAGTTATCAGAAAGATGAGATTGAGGCACAGTAGTTACTTCCAGATAAACTACATAGACTCAGTGATGAAAATATCACCCATATTCTTGACAGTTTTGAGCCAGATTTGGCTGAGGATAGATGAAACCTAGCTAGAAACAAGTTTCAAAGATAGACGCACAGATGGAGAGACGTTCAGGTCAAACAAAGCAATTTAGCTGAGCCTCTCAATGACAAATCATGATCTTTATCCGACCATATACAGAATACTCCAGATCCTATTAACACTCCCTTGTCACCACTGCATCTGCCAAGTGGAGTTTCTCGGTCACGAAAGGTTTTCTAGTTTAGCCCTCATGCACATGCACAAAGATTTTGATTTTGATGCTGCAATCAACACATTTAGTGCTGGGTCTAACAGGCGATTCAAAAATAATCTTACAAGCATAAGACTACAAATGTAGAAAAGTTGAATAGGACATTGGTTGAAATAATTATAATAAAATATAATTTTTACAGTAGCCAAGTGTGTAATTGATTTATGTATACTTATATTCATAACAGGTATCCATATCTGTTGGTTCATGAAACTATAAAGAAAATATTACTAGGTGTGAGTGCCTACATATTTCTCGATGGTTGGATACACCCCCGACATAGGAGTATAGTAGATTATCAAGCAATGCGAAGAAGACAAAAGAAATACAATCTGTTAAACCCACAACTTGAAACAGGATTTCATTTTTTGATTCAATCTAGCTTAGAGTGACTGATGGGAAGTAATATTACCTTTAACCAAACTAACCTAGAGAAAGGGCTGAAGCAAGATTCACACTAAAATTTTTATTTTTTATCAGAATGAAAGTGAATAAACTTAAAGTAAATTCAAACCATCTGAATACTAATTCTATTAAGCTCATGCTTTTATGTTATTAAAAGAAAAATCTATTTGTAAATAACAATCTGTTCATCCTTCACACAGTCAACACTATTAATCCTTAAGTTATTAACTGTGCCACAGAATGCCACCTAATTTGTGACTAACTGGCAAAACTATTTACACACACACACACACACACACACATATATATATATATATATGACAAATATTTCGAAATACAGTTGACCTGTAGTGTATGTGTGTACTATATATACACACACACACACACACACACACACACATATATATATATATATATTTGAATTGAGAAAAATAGTAACTTTTAGTGGCAGTTCTAAGATTTAGAGAATTAAAAAAATTGTTTTCATTATGTTCATACCAGTATAATTACTACTTTTTCAGAACCTTTAATATTCCCTATTTTGTACAAACATAATAGTACCATGCAAGCTTGTAGACTTTTGTAGTTTACACAAAATAAATTGAACCCATTCTTTAGTTTTTTTAATGAAATCATTAATTTTTTATATGTATTTTTTGCATAACCAGTGCAAAACCATACACAAAAATGATTATTCAAGTGGCATGCAATTCGTCTTTTTTTACACATACTGTAAGAAAATATTTGATGTTGCCAGATTTTTTTCTCTGCGATACTTCCCCTAATGGTGTTTGCCCAACATTCAGTTTACTTTGAATTTTAGTTTACCTAATGAATAAGATACTGGTGTTTCAAACTGTGAAATTTCCAAAATACTAAGGTCGTATAAGGTACTTCAAATTATCTTCAGAATTAACAAAATTCCAATTTCACTATCCATTATTATTATTTTAGTGTGAAATTCTAGATGCAAAACAAATTGAAGATTTAAGAGAAACAAATCCATGAATAATATTGTGAAGCTAAAACAGAATCTTGGTTCAACAATTTTATGGTCATATTAAAAAATGAAATTATTTCTTTTATGCAGCTTTATTTTATATTTAATGTAACACTATAATAATTTCAATGAAACAAATAAAAATACCTAGTTAAACTTATATTATCCAACACTAAGCATGAGCACATATACCAAATGAAAACCATAATCTTAACATTTAGTCATACTTTGGCATTCAAAGATAAGAAAAACTTGCATGTTTGACAACAGCTCCAGGCGCATAAAGAAATACTTTAGTTTAACTGAAATATGTCAAGCTGTTGTTTTTCTATAAAAATATTTTAAGGCATGATGCTTTATTATTAAAAACTAACTCGAGTGTTTTCATTGAAACATCTTACATTAGACAGTATTTTGCAATTTTTCTTTTACCTTTAGAGAAATGTTTCTTGATATTTTATTTCCATATATCATATACTGTAGTTATGCAATAATGTTGATAACTTTTTTTTTGCTCTAAATTAGCTACATTAAAAAAAATTTACAAAAAATCTGAGCTGAAAGAAAGTTTGATAGAAATTATTTCACATATTCAGTATTTCTCACCTTTCTTATCAAGAACAACCATCTCTACATAATATCACTTTCTCAATACAGTTGTTTAGAGACAGTATTTAATTCACATATTCTGGTGATTACAAACTGTGAAAAAAATGATTTATTTGTTTTTTTATGAACTCTTGTGCACAGTTAACAAGCAGTCACAGAATAATATATTTTTTTCATAATAAAGTAAGAGATTTGCAAAAAAAAACAGCATTATTGACATTGCTAAGGCTAATAAAATTTTATAGCTGAATGTGATCAGCAAGTGGCCATTAGATGCCTGTTCATTAAGTGACAGACCTATAACTGTGTTAAAACAATTTCCCAATATGTCAAATTATATATTTACATACACAAACTAGCCTACAAGTTTCAGCACTTATAATCTAAACAAGTTTTTCAATGTTTTTAATACTCTAAAGTGAATTATAACTCTGATTTTGAATATATTACAACTTATAATCTTAGAAGAATCGAAGTGCATATATGCACACAAATACAAATTATTGAACTTTCAAACATTCCTAATCAATCTGTAACCTTAAAACGAATGTTATTAACTCAAACAATGCATAGAAATAAACAAAAGTATGCTTTCAGTTGCCTAATTCCTAGTATATTTAACAAAATGACATCAAAAATAATCTACAGATGTAAGAAACAAATTAAACCTTCTGCAAATTGTTTTATATTTTGAACAACAAGTAAGACACTTTTAAAAGCTAGCAACACCAAATATTTACATTAAATTATTGCACAGTGGATGCATCACAAGGCAAACCAAACACAAAAAAGTTAGACAACTTGAAACACAAAATGGTTTTTAACTGCTGAACTACTTTCGATTAGGCTAATTTCTCACATAGAAATACTTGAATATCACAATATGCACTAAAAAAAAAAGGATTTTTAAACCTGAATATTAAGAGATCATAGGCTTGAACTGGTAATCAACAGGTCATTGATCACATACACACGAATAATCACAGTAAAACATCACAGTTAGTTAGGTTAAAAGTCATCTTGTTCTAGTTCAGCAAACTCTCGTAAAACTGAGAGAGCATACTGGATACGACAAATGATATCCGACTTACACCCATAGCATGAAATGTCTTCAATGGAAAATGTAAAAGTATGCCTCAGTTCATTGATGTAAGTCAACTTGCCATGGTGTTTTCCTCCACTGACAATAAGTTTTGTATGATCCATGAAAAAATTCATCTGTCAATAAAGATTTAATTCAAATTTCAGAAAATATAGCCACAAGTGATAACTTCATGAGAAGAGCAAACAAAGGGTACTAATGAATACAAACATGTGTAATGGTGAAAACTTAATTCTATTCATACGAGTCAAATGTTTCTGAATTAACTTAATCTATTATCAGTAAACTCAGAAATCACATTCATTTCTGCACTTGAAGAATATGAATCACTACATTTTCTGGATGTCAAAATAACAAAAACAAGTAATTTTCCAATCCTCTTTATTGGAAAATCACTTTCATCAGCTTCTATGTCATTACAACTTCACTCTGGTTGTTTTAAAAAGTAATCTAATCTTGTCCTTTTTAAAAGAAAATTTGAAACTCTTCTCTACAAAGAGAGGTTAATCTGATGCATAAACACTTAACCTGTCTTCTCAACAGATAATTAATGTCGCATATAAGGTTCTTTAAAAACAAAAAAATGTACTAGCCCCAAATTCCCTCTTATAATCTGGCTGTTGTTCATGGCTTCTCAAAGTTTAGAGATTAAAAAAACAAATCTCTAGTGATAAAAAGAAACTTTATGACCAGATTCAACTCAGACTTATCTCTAGACCAGGTTTCCGAATTAAAAATTTCTTTACATACCACTCATATGAATACATATGTAGCAAATGTAAGGTCTCACACACAGGTAAAACTAAACACCATTTGAAAATTAAAGAGCTTTTGATCACTTAAACGCATTGAATAGAACTGGTATTTACCTAGTTATATTAAAACAATTTTGAATATAAATCAGCAAGTCAAGTGACAACCAAAGCTGATATGAACTGAAGTAATAGTGATATGGTATGTATCTGATTTTACTATTCTTTGGCATTTGATAGGTAGTGTAATGCCACCAAATACTGATCACTTTTAGAAAGGGTATTTAACAGCATTTTCTAACAAAAAATATTCATTCTTTAAGATCATAAAGATGTGTTCAGATCGAGGATATCCCTTGCACTTAATGGTATTGAAAAACAAAGGAATATGCATCACCTTGGGGCACCAGAACCACCAAGAAAGAAATTTACAATAAACCACACCATAGCCACGGTATGCAAAGTGTGCATCTCAGAACAGGTGAGAATCCATGAACTCAAAGATCAGTGGAAAGCTGTTCACATGCCCCAGGCAACAGTACACAACATAATCAAGAAGGATCTCCATCTGGAAAAGCAACACAAGTTGCTTCAATGATATATCTACTCAACTCCAGCATATCTCAAGCAGCAGGTACTCATACTATTTGATAAGATGACATACCGTTCAAGATGCCTAATGAGGGTCCTATAGATCAGTGTACAATGAGGCTCTAAAATCGTTTTAATATAATGTACTCAACCTTCTGAACTATTTCAAAACAATAATTAATAAATAAATTCTATCAAATTCAAAACTGCTAGCACAACAAAAGTAACTGTCTTGTCAAAGTTTATTAATTCAAGTGCCATTTTCTAAAACTTGTAGGCATCAATAGTATCTCATAAAATTTTATGAAGATAACATGCAATTTTAGGAAAATAATACTCACTGTCCACAACATTACCAAATCAGACCAATGATTTATGTAAAATCTAAGTAGTGTAACAACAGTGCCTTGTTGAATTTCAACTGGTAACAACATTCACACCTTGTACATATATTGGTAAAAATACATTATTTGCAAGTGTTTCTTTGAAGTTAATGATAACACACATTGGCTATAAATATTGTCTTGTGAAAATGCATTATACTTCCACACCAGTAAATAAGATATATAAAAGATTATGATGTTCACAAATTATTGGGCAATGTTTTGTTAGCTGAGGTTTTCTTTCAAGTTTTGACTTATGCCAAAATAAACTAGAGGTTGTACACATTTTTTGCATATGAAAATTTAAATAAATATTACAGATATTGTGTTTTAGGTCCCATCATATTTGTCTTTCATCCTGAAAACTGGAATAAGGATCTCAAAATTTATAAAACTGGAGAAGTACACACAACAATTTGATGTGGTAACATGAAACAATCTTTGAGGTATTTTTTTACAAAAGATACACACAAAGATAAAATGACTTAGTTACCACTCCAACCATAGTAACATCAAATAAATAATCCAGAAATATAAATTTAAGAGCCAGTTTTGTACTGTAAGAAAATAAAGTACAATAATTTAAAGAGAATATTAACTGCTGATTGTCATACCTGAAGTGTGCCACAATTTAACTGCATAATTATAGCTCTTGAGGTTCTGATCCAACGTTTCATATATGGAATACTTCTTTTTGTTTTGCATAGTCCAAGGTGCTTCACTTCTCCACCCTTTAGTAGGTTTGTAAAAGTACAACATACAAAAAAATATATATATAAATAATACTAATAACTGGATCATACAAATACTTTTAATCGTTACTTCTCAATCGCAATTTCTGAATATTTTTAGTAATATATCCAATAATAATGATTATTTCACTTTTCACATAGGTATGTTAAATATCATACTACTAGCATACAGTTACTTGAATATTTTTACGTTCAATATAACAGCACAAAGAAATTAAGTTTGTTACAACTGACTTGGTTAAACATCAATACATAAAATTTAATTTGTTAATGTTCAGTTAAATAATTCAAACTTTGATGTATACTGCATCTTCTTCATATTCTACATTTAGGTACTCATGCTCAAATTTACTAGTATATCACTTAGAAAATGTAGCAATCAATTTCTCAAAAAAATTTGCTTGTCTAATTTTCATTCTGCTTGCTGTATTAAAAAATTCAATGAAAATAAAATAATACTTGTATGCTCAGACATCTCCATTCTCTGCAGTTTACCTCAGTCAAATTTTCTTCCATATATTGACTAAAGTATTTCAATAAGGTGTATTTTTCCTGAAGGATGGATGGTACATTTGATGAACAGTAGGTTTTCAACTTGTTAGCCAGATCATAATACTCCACTCTCCTTTAAAAATAAAAAACAAGGAGAAAATTTTCCTTGTGTTGCAATGTTTTTTAAAGCAAACACCAAAAACACAGCCATTAAAATTCATTATATTTTAGTACTCCAGAAACTAAGCATTTTTAGTCTTCTTTTTTGTGAGATCCAAAAATATTAAATTTTAACACGCCAAAAAAGAATCTTGTATTAAAAAATGAATTAGAAGTTAGTGTTTTCACTGCTGAATGGATTAGAGGTTACTGTTTTTGTTTTCACTACTGGATGGATATTTTAGGTGAAAGCAAAGCAGAATATATCATATGTCAACCACACAGTATCTGCCATATCTAGTGCCAATGAAGTCTTTTGCAAAATAACGCAACTTATCAGTTTGCCTAGGATACAATAGAAATTTGTGGTCTAGGCACTATTTGTATCACCAACTTTCATGAACAGTAACTATTATGGTTTGGCCTAGATTATGCATATTAATTATAATTATTATCAAGTTTATTTAAATCATTCACTAATCAATTTTTTGAATAAGGTTTAATTCCACAATATTATTTATTTATTTTATATTTAACATCATTCAAAAATATAGTTGTTTTCACTGCTGGCCAGCTCATAAGATTCATGGTTACATGTAACTAATGTTGAGTTAAGAATCTACAGGAATATGTCACCATTTGGCTCCACTGATATTTTTATCGAAGAGTTCCACAGGAACAGAAAAAGAAAAAAATATATAAATTTTATTATAAAAGATGCCACTAGTAACATATACCTAACAATTTGTAGATAAGCCTAAAAAGCTTATTAACTAAAATTATGAATAAAAAAAAAATTATTTTATAGAAGTTATTTACTAAGTTTTATCAAATGAGACCCAGTTAATGCCAAGTTCCAAGTTACAATAGTGACATCTTACTTTTTTACAATAATTAACTTAAACAAGTTCATCTTACTTTAGGAAGAAATCCATTATTTTCATTTAGTTGATAAAATTGACTATAAATAATATACTGTTAGATCTAATTAATTATGGAGCTTTATTGAGAAATCAAACCAACAATTAGAATTACTTATATATTCTTATTCAAGAAATTTTTGTCAAGCATCGATTCTTTCTCTTAATCTAAATAAAAAAAAAGTTTTACAGTGCATCTGTAGCCTCTCACATAATCTTAATTAAAATTTTACGAATTCTAAATAACTATAATCTAATATATACATATATATATATATATATATATATAC